CAATCTCCCCTCCATTTTCTGAATGCCAATTGCACTTTTATTCTAACAATTTAACATTTAGCTGTTGTGTAATTGCATTATGTGAAAGTTTTCTGCCCAGCTAGATTATGAATTCCTTGAGAGCAGTGACAGGGTAACAAATATTTTTTATATCCCCAATTCTCTACCCTCATAGTGCAAGGCATAGATTTATTGAATGTCAGCCATAAAATATGGTGATTGGCTGTTAACTCTTCCTCCCCAACTGGAATCCTCCTCAATAAGCATTTATTGAACACTTACTCTTGGACAAAACTAGAGTTTCTGGGACAACAGAAATGAAAAGGACAGGATATAGTCACAAGACTCAAGTGGAAGAGATTATGCAATCACCATAGATGTCTGAACAAAGGGAGTGTTGAGGGAAAAGCCTGTTTGAGCTGGCCCTAGATAGATTGAATGAGATTTCACCAGGCTGAAAAGAGGATTGGGGGCTGGATGGGATTCCAGATAGAGTATCTGGCCTGAGCAAAGGCATGGAGGTGTAAAAGTACATGGCCTATGTGGAGTATAACAAATTTGTGGCAGGAGGTAAGTCTATCTGGGTAGATGAAATTTAGATTTGACAGGGCCCTGAATACCATGCAAAGAAATTTAAACTTGACCCTAAAGGCAGTAGGGAACCAGCTTATGATTTTAAGCAAGAGAGCCACAAAAGGCACTGAAAATGTCAGCTATGTAACAAAAATATCAACCAAGCAACATTTTTCCCTGATTGCCGTCCTCGCTAGCCCTTCATTGCATGAAGCCCTATATGTAATCCACTAGTTGGGAAAATGAATCAAATCCCCTTACTTTGTTCCTAGCCTACCCTAAATTCTAACTGATCTCAGGCTTGTGGCCATCTAGAGATTTAATTTATCCAGATGTGCCATTCTCTGGACTGACATGTCATAGTGAAACCCCAAAGTGTTATGAAAAGAGTACTGGGCTTGGAGTTCAACTAGGTGTGGGTTCAAATCTCAACTTTAAGGAACTTTATTTTCTCATTATTCTGCTGCTTTAACTTTTTCTCTTGAACTTTTTTATATCTGCAAAATAAACCCAAAGACTAGCAGAATGGATTATCCATGGGCAAATATCACTTTGAGTTTTACTGATTGTATTTATTTCTTTTATTGAACTATTGTTTATGGCATCTGTTTTACTTGATTTAGTTGCTGCTTCTAATTTTCTTTAGTTGACCCTTTATTTCTATGTACTTATTAAGGAAGCACGTTAAAACCCAAACAGTAAACCAGATAGCTGCTTCAGGAACTGTTTGGAATGAGACAGCTCAATTTAGCTGGATTGTTCTGTGTCAGTGGGTTACAGGAAGGAGTTCATAAAGTCCCCATGTGGAAACTTACAAGTTTTCCATCTTCCCCTTTGTTGAGTCTTCATCTTGTAGCGTCATTATTTTGTTTTAATGAATTCCCAGAACAATAGGTACACCCATCTGAAAATATGACTACAGGACATATTCCAAAGCCAAACATAAATTATTTTTGGACTTCCATACTTTTCTTCCTATAATTTGTGTGGCTAACGTAGAGATGCTGGAACTTTATATTTTAAATCATTTCCTGAATGAAACACATGACCAGTGGAGAGAGAAGGAAAGGATTCTGCATCATTTTGCAGATTTTCTTGCTTTCTTTCAGTGCTAGTCACTTAATAGAATTCATGGGCATTTAAAATTTTTAAATGGAAAGAAAACCTCTTGAATTGTACTACCCTGTTAGCCTCGGTTCTTCTCGTCAGCTAAAATGGTGTCTGTTTTCAGCTATGATTTCTAGAAACCTGGAATACCTACTCTTGAGATTGAGTGCTTTTGCAGGTTCGTTGAATGTAGTAAATCCTGGAGTTAGACAAATATTAACTGCAATATTGACTCTGATGCCACCTGCATTTAAAAAGGAAAGTTGATGTGGATGGTGGGGGCAGGGAACGTTCCTTGTTTAGATTTTATTATTTGTATTTAGGTTAATGTAATTTCCACTGTTTTTTCATTTTCATCCAGTTGAGTTTGATGTAGTAACAGAAGTGTCAAGTGGAGTTCTTGGGACTTCAGGACTGGAGCTTGAGGTGGAGATGAGAGCTGGAGATAGTAGGTATCCTTAAAGGTTAAAATAAAGTAAATCAGAGTAAGGTGGGGAAGGATCTATTATCTCAGTCAGATCCCGAACAAGATGGAGGGGCTATTTTTTGTTTATAAATAAGAAATAATAAATAAAGAGTAAAGGCACTTCTTCCTGGATGATAGGAGGGAAGACAGAGAGATTCAGGATTTCCTATATCTTATTAGTAATAGGAAAAACTGCCAAGGATCCTGTGGTAGCTCAGGTTCCCTAGAAGCGGCAACTGAGACAGAGAATTCCATGTAAGTGCATTGTTGCGGGAGTACTCGGAGAAGGGGAGTGAAGGAAGCAGGAGAGAGCAGGGGGAAAAGTCCAGCGAGGATGAAGGATTGGCTAGCAGCCCATTCGATCCACATAGCAAGGTTAGAGTTTTTGTAGGTGAGGAAATGGTTTTATGATCAATAATTTTGTACATACTAGTACTGAGTAAATGACTCTATCTTCCCTACTTGACCATATGTCACTATGTAAGCATGATAATGTTCCAGGGAAACCTTTTGTTTAGGTTCACATCTGTACAGAGTTCAAGCTATTTGTGCGTGCTAAAGCAGGATATTGAGAATGCATTTTTTAAAATTTATATTCATCCTTATCCATAAGTGAATAGCAGGTTTCCCTTGGAATATCTGTTCTCTTGGTTTCAACCATCACCTTGATGCTGATAACTCCCAAATCTTTGCCTCCTATTCATCTCATCTGGCCCCACCCAGCATCACTTTTTTTTTTTTTGTGAGGAAGATTGGCCCTGAGCTAACATCCATTGACAATCTTCCTCTTTTTTTGTGAGGAAGATTGGCCCTGAGCTAACATCCATTGACAATCTTCCTCTTTTTTGCTAAGGAAGATTTGCCCTGAGTTAACATCTGTGCTAACCTTCCTCTATTTTATAGGTGAGCTGCCACCACAGCATAGCCACTGAGGAGTGGTGTAGGTCTGCACCTGGGAACCAAACCCAGGCCACTGAAGCGGAGTGCACCAAACTTAACCACTAGGCCACCAGGGCTGGCCCCCCAGCATCATTTCTGTATCTATCTCTCTATCCCACAATGATTTGTACATAGTAGGTGGTTCATAAATGTCCCTCACACTTCAGTCAGGCTGGTCTTTTTATTACAAGTGAAGTGTTGTGAAACTGAGTACATGATTTGGAGCTTAATTTTTTTTAACACTGACTGGGCAAGTTAGCTTCTCTGAGCTTCAGTTTCCTCATCTGCACTAGCAGTGATAATGCCACAGCATGGGAATGTTAGAAAAATTAAGTCAAAGAGTTCATTTTAAGCACATAGACCAGTGCCTGAAAATTGACAAGTACCTGGTAAATGTTCTTTTTCCTTTATGCTCAATGTTTAAAATATTTAATTTATCTGCTATGATTCCAATTTTTCAGACCTATTGTTTAATTTATCCTGTTTGGTGTTTACCACATTCATCACATGTAATTCTGATAACCTAGAGTAAGAAGATTCTTAAAAGATTTGGAATACTTCAAAACGAATATTATTTGCCTAATCCAATAACACTTTGCTGACTATGATTCTCAATAAAGATTTCATCAGGGGCCTGCCCAGTGGCGTAGTGGTTAAGTTCGCACATTCCACTTCGGTGGCCTGGGGTCGCAGGTTTGGATCCCCGGGCGTAAACCTACACACCGCTCATCAAGCCATGCCATGGCAGGTGTCCCACATAAAAACAGAGGAAGATGGGCACAGATGTTAGCTCAGGGCCAATCTTCCTTAGCAAAAAGAGGAGGATTGGCGACAGATGTTAGCTCAGGGCTAATCAGCTTCACACACACAAAAAAGATTTCATCAAAAAAATTGGGGGAGGGCAGGGCTGGATAAGGTAAGGTTGGCTACAATGCTATTTTTTTTAAATCAAATACTAAGATTTTTTGAGTTTTAATTTATAATCCGAAGATTCACACTTGGGATGTAGAAAATATTTCATCTTTAATATTAAATTCTTGAGTAGAGAGCAACATTGAATGGCACAGTGTGCCTCTTTTTCCCAGTATTTCTGTGCATCTACATTGTGTTAGGAGCTCTGGGAGAGTTAGAGGCTTAAGATAATGTTTCTCCACTCTCAAATGGCTAAAACGTTTCTCAATACTGATGTCTAGCATTTACATCAATTGATTACTTGTGAACTCCCATGAGTTTTGTATACATGTCCTCATTTGGTTTTCTCATTTGCATGGTTCTCAAAAAAGTGCTGTCAACTACATGGTAAGGGTAGAGGTACATTACATCTGAAGGGTAACTGAATATACTGAGTAGTTTGCATGTCTATATTGTGAAAGTAAGAGCATGAAAGAAGACATGAGAATAAGTGATAATCCAAAAGGTGAAAACTACCCAAACGTCCATCAAGTGATGAATGGATAAACAAAATGTGGTATATTCATACAATGGGTATTATTTAGTCCTAAAAAGGAATGAGTACTGATGTGTGCTATAACATTGATGAGCCTTGAAAACATTATGGGAAGTAAAAGAAGCCAGACACAAAAGGCCACATATTGCATGATTACATTTATATGAAATATCCAGAATTGGCAAACCATAGAGATAGAAAGAGAATAGAGATTATAAGGGACTAGAGTGGGGGATAGGAAATTATGTTTACTGAGTACAGAGTTTCTGTTTGGGATGATGAAAAATTTCTGAAAATGGTAGTGATGATGATTGCACAACATTGTAAATGTACTTAATGCTACTGAATTGTCTAGTTTAAAATGGCTCAAATGGTAAATTTTATGTGTATTTACCACAATAAAAAAATAATAAGTGGTAAGGGGCTTGGAAGTCATCGTAATAAGCTTCCTGGGTTTTTTTTGTGCAGGAGCCATGGATAACAGAGGCTTTCAGCAGGGGAGTTTCAATAGCTTCCGGAGCAGCTCCAGTGATGAAGACTTGATGGACATACCAGGGACAGCTATGGATTTCTCCATGAGAGACGATGTTCCTCCCTTAGATGGAGAAATAGAAGGTATCATTACTGCTGAAAATAATTTATCTTTTTAAAATTTATTTTTAATGTACATGCAGTTAAATTCGTTTATTTTCTGGCGCACAGTCCTATGAGATTTAACACAAGCATATGATTCTTGCACATGCACATGCAGATTCTTGTACCCACCTCCACTGACAGCATACAGAACAGTTCAACACTCCAAAGAATTCCCTTTTGCTATCCATTTTCAGACCTCCCTCACTCCCAAACCCTGGTAACCACTGATCTATTCTCTGTCCCTACAGTTTTTCCTTCTCGAGAATGTTAAATACGTGGAGTCACGTAGTATGTCACCATTTGAAACTGACTTCATTCACTCAGCTTAATGCTTTGGAGATTCATCCAAGTAGTTCATTCTTTTTTCTTGCTGAGTAGTATACCCTGGAGTGGGATCACTGAGTCATGTGGAAAATGTATGTTGAACTTTATAAGAAACTGCAGAAGCATTCTCTGGAGTGGCTGTACCATTTTGCATCGGAACTAGCTATGTCTGATAGCTATATTTGTTCTGCATCTTCAACAGCTCTTGGTATTTTCAGTAATTTTCAGTTGAGCCATTCTAATAGGTATGTAGTGTTATCTCATCATGGTTTTAATTTAAATTCCCTAATGGCTTATGTTGAACGTCATTTCACGTGCTTATTTGCCAACCTTGTATCCTCTTTGATGAAGTGTCTTTTCAAATATTTCCCCCTTTTTATAATTGGGTTTTTATTATCTGGAGTACATTTATAAAATGAGAATTCCCCTCATCTATTATTTGGTTATCCAGTAACATCACTCTTTTTAACGGCTGCATACAATTTCCTGGTATAGCTGTACCATAGTTTATTTAAACAAGCTTCTGTTGATACACATTTCAGTTGTTTCCAATCTTTTGCTATTACAAACAATGCTGCAATGAACAACATTGTGTGTGTGTGTTTGTGTGTGTATATATATATCTCTATATAGATATATCTTTTAAGTATATGAGAGCATTTCTGTAGCATGAGTGCATAAGAGTGCTTATTTCCCCACAGCCTTGCTGGTGCTGAATATTGTAATTCTTTTTTCATCTTTAAAATATCGTAATTAGGGCCGGCCCCGTGGCTTAGCGGTTAAGTGCGCGCGCTCCACTGCTGGTGGCCCAGGTTCGGATCCCGGGCGTGCACTGACGCACCGCTTCTCTGGCCATGCTGAGGCCACGTCCCACATACAGCAACTAGAAGGCTGTGCAACTATGACATGCAACTATCTACTGGGGCTTTGGGGAAAATAAATAAATAAATAAATAATAAAATATCGTAAGTAAAATAAATAAATAAATACATTCCCATTATTGTTTTAATTTGCACTTTTTTAAATTAATGAGGTTGAGCATATTTTCATATGCTTACTAACCATTTAAATTTCTTTTTCTGGAAGTTTCCTGTTCATATGATGTTCCTGTTTTTCTAATGGGCTAATTATCTTTTCTTATTTTTTTATAGGAGCCCTTCATGTATTATTGTTAATATTTTTCTAATGTAGGTTGAATATATTTTTTCCATTTCTAGTTTGCCTTTAACTTTGTTTTTTTAATGTACACATATTTTAAATTTTTCTGTAGCTAGGTATGGCATTCTTTTCTTTTGTGACTTAGTTTCTTGTTGTAATTAGAAAGGACTGTATCACTCTAAGAGTAAATTTGTATAATTACTTAAAACTACCGTCTGGTTCTTTAACTGATTGGGATTGCCATTCTCAAAGTAAAGTCAGAGGATAAAAAATTTATGTCGGAATTCATTATTTAGCAAAGTTGTAGTAAGGGTATATGACATTGCAGATTCTTCGCTAAGTTCTGGGAATCAGCAAGACTTTAAGGCACCATCCCTGCTTTCAAGAAGTTGACTCTAGCCAGCTAAACAGACACCTAAGTAGTTATGATAGTACCTACCTCTTAGAGTTGTTTTCAGGATTAAATGAGATGATAACATATAAAGTGTTTATAACTGTACCTGGCATCGAGTTAATGTTCAATAAAATATTAGCTGTCATTATTATTTTATTTCTACTATAACCCTATATTATGAGTGCTATAGCTCTTATAAGAACTTAACAGAGGAAGCATTCTGTGTGTGTGTGTGTGTGTGTGTGTGTGTGTGTGTGTCTGTGGAGGATTAGAAAAGATTTCACAGGAAAGGTGTGTTTGAGAAGGGCCTTGAAAGATAAGTTATGTGCTAGAAAGAAGAGCATTCAGGCAGAAAGCAAGCTTTTACAGAGATATCAACATGATATACAGAGGTATAAAAAGGCAGAATATAAGCCCATATAAGTAAATTGGGGCCTTGAACATCATGGTAAGAAGTCTGAATTAACCTTATTGTCACCATGAGGACAAGCCCCCTCACTCATTCATTCAACAAATACTTTTTGAGCACTTGCTATGAACCAGGCACTATTGTAGGCATTGGGGATACAGCAGTGGGATTAACATAGATAAAATCCAAGTTGATCTGGAATTTAGATCTAGTTGGACAAATAAATAAACAGATTACCTAGTTAATTACCCGTTATAATAAGTACTAGGATGGAAATAAACTGAATGACAATAGAAGATAGCTGGGGAATAACATTTTAGTTAGAAAGGTCTGGGAAGGCCTCTCTGAGGAGGCAACCAACTTGGGGTGAACATACCGGAATGAAAACCACATGTTCAAAAAGATAACGAGAAATTTGCCTAGTAAAGGTATCTCAGGAAAGTGACAGTAGAAGAGAGCCCCTGAATTTAAAGTTCATAAAAGAAAGGTACTCATGTTTTGGGATTTAGTGGTTTTTCATATTTGCCTATTTCTCTAAAAGGAACACCTGTTTGTGTATCACTTCTACTTATGTCTAGATAACCAGAGTGAGTCAGTTATGGCAATCAGTGGCTTTGGTGAGGTGATCAGTTAGTGTATCCATGAACTTAAAGTGGCTACCTCTCCTTAAGCCTTCTGGCTAAAGCAGAGTGGTTTAGCTTAGTTATCATCATTGCTTCTAATCGAAAATGATTTCATAGAGCATCCGTATCACCAAAGTACTTTTTGTCTGCTCACGTCGCTCTTAGTAGGTGACTGGGGCAAGCGAGTATCCATTATTCCTATTTAATAGACTAGAAGACAGAGGCAGACAAGATTTTTACGTTGCCTCTAATTCTAGAATGTGTTTTTACATGAGTAGTCCTTCACCACTTTTCACTAGCCTTTACAGGAGAATTACTGCTTGTGGTTTACAAGGTCTGACCGTAAAACAGTGAGGCTGTTTTCCATGAGCCACACACGAAAATCAGTTCACTTACTATACGCTGTAGTGATATAATTTTCTTGCTTTGATTTTTAATTGTTCTTACTTTATTTAATGTTTTCATATGAGATTGCCTAATAAACACAGCAACAGCAACAGAAAAAGGTCGTAAAGCCCTTGGTATTTGGTGGTGAAACTGTGCATAAAATACTACATTTTGTACCAGGCACAACAGCACGTACTAAAAAGATTAGTTAAAAGGAGCTTGAAAGGCAGTAGAAGTGGTTCTTGTTTTCCAGATGGCTAGAGGGATTGATTTATGAGGAATGAATAAATAAATTATGCATAACATGGTTAAATGCATCTGAGGTAGTGCTATAGTAGTCTGTAAATTAGAAGAAACGTAAACATGGAGACCTGAAAGAAGGGGAGGGGGAGGAAAATAGAAAAAGGGTTTGAGAAACAGGAAAAAATTCAGAGCTATTCTCATAGTCCGTGTGTTCTCACTTGCCTGCCTCTGCAGCCTGGACCTCAGGGTCAGCAATTCCTGTGTTCATTCATTCAGTATTTATGGAGCGCCCAGATATGAACCCAGCACCGTACTGTTTTAGTAACGCTCTTCAATTCCAGTGTTCCCCTCACCTCCTTGTCTTTCTACCTAGCATGCCTTGCTGCTACTCCCTAACTGTCTAATGAGGACACATTCCTGGCAGGGAGAGCAACACACAGGTAAAGGCACAGCAGCCTGAGAGAGACCTTTGTATTCAAGAAATGCAGAGTCTGCGTGTCTGAGCTCTGAGGCTCCTAGGGTGGAGGTGGTGACAGTTGGAGCAGGAGGGAGGACAGCAGGTGATACAGCCAAGGATCTAATTAGAAATCTAGGTGGGGTTCAGATTATCTGCGCTTTTGAACCTTATCTTGTAACCAAGGAGTTATCAAATGACTTAAAAGCAGAGGAATGATATGATCAGATTTGTGTTTTAGAGAATTTATGGCAGTGTGAAGGATGGATTCGGGGGAGAGTAGATTGGAGACTCGAAGACCAGTTAAACTGTTATTTTTTAAAAATCTAGGCAAAAGATCAGAAGGCCTGAATTAAGACAACAGGAATGGAGAAGAAGGAATAATAAGTTCTGGAGAAATTTCAGAGGGGGGATTGATAGGACCAATTAGATACAGGAAATAAACTAGAAGAGAGTGACGGATGACTTCAAAGCCCAGGCAGAGTACGAGCAAGCCGTGTCCCCCTTGCGTGTAGAGAACATGCCCGGACCACCCCTGTGAGCCTTAACATAACCTCCCAACGTCCCAGGGAAGGAAAAAAAACTTTTAAAATGAAAAACATGATGGTGTACAAAATCCACAAATAAGTTGTGAAACAGTTCTGTTTGTTGTGTCACGCTGTAAAAAAAAAAGATCTTAGTATTCCTCCAGAGAGAAATAGAAAACATCTTGGGCTCCAGTTCATGGAGAAACCTACCATCATCATTTCAGTTAGGCTTTCCCAACTGAAATTGCAATTGTGTAGATGGTGCCGGGAGGACAAGGAAATGGAATTCAGAATCCATCACCCTCACAATCCTCAAACTTCCCTAAACACTTAGCCTGGGAGAGCAGCAATTGTTACTGCTGCTTTTTGAGCTTGAAAAAAAAAAGTGGCCTGTATCAAAAGCTCCATGGGATCATAAAGCACACCAGTTTTATATCCTGAACCCTTACCGATGAGCCTA